GGAGCGACTACGTCGCTCGGCTGGCCTGGGAACACCTTGGGGTCCCCCCAGAAGAGCTAGAGGAAGTGTCGAGGGAGAGGGAAGTCTGGGTGTCCCTGCTCAGACTGTTGCCCCCGCGACCCGGCCCCGGATAAGCGGTTGAAGATGGATGGATGGATGGATGGATTTATATAGTTATTTTTCTCTTCCCCACACACACCACACTCACTCGAACATTCTCCTGTCTCACTACGTTTTTTCAATGTACACAATGTAATAAACATTTAATAGTTAATGTGTGGGAGGGTTGAGGGGGTGGAGGAGGAGGGGGCGGCGACAGAGCTGAAATGACAATCACTGTGGGGGGAAAAAAATGAAGCCAAAAAAAATGAAAAAAAAAACTGAGGGGAGGGAGTGGCCATGTCATCAAAGGGGAGGCGTCGGGGGCCCTTTCTTTGTAGGTGCCATCTTGGGCGTCGTTTTCGTTGTCTTGGCGGTGGGGGTCGTCTCCGTGAGATTCAGGTTCTCCAGTGCCAGGTCCAAGGTCATGACCTCAACACAGCCCATCACCTGGCAGTTGGCAAAGTTCTGTAACGAGCCGTGGCAGTCGTCCTCGTCCTCGGGGGATGCCAATGTGTCCTTCTTGGGCAGCAGCGTGGACAGGAGGAGCTCTGTCACAAACAGGCTGCGGTTGGCCCACTGGGCCTCACACAGCTGATGTTTGGCCTCCGACAGCCGGGGTTCACTCAACCTGCAAAAGAGAGGTGTGTTTAAAAAACTGAAAATAACCGACTTACTATATTCAAATTAATTAATTTACTTTAATATCCACGACGTTTAAGGTCCAGTGTGTAAGAATCAGTGGTTTCAAACTAAGTGCAACAATGAAATAATCCAATGCTTACAACTGGGTTACTATAGTGCAGAGGTGTTCAAAAGGTAGTTCACACCCCTCTAAATATTCTTCTATGAAAACTGGTTATATAGTTGTTTATAAAAAAAATTAATAGTGACTGTAGGTGGCAGCAATGATATGCTAATCAACATGTTCTGTATTTTTCTGCAGCTGATTGGAAGAATAGAATTTAAAAAACAAAATCAGATTAATCGCTAACAAAATAATCTTTAATTAATTAATTTCTACGGTGAGGAAATAAAGGTAATGTGGCAGGCACTGAGGGGCATGCCTCTCACCCAGTAGGGTTATGGGTAAAGTGGCGTGTTAAGTGCCCATAGAGTTTGGCGCTCAGCGCCATGTTCACTCTCTGTTCCTGTTGTCACGGACTAATAAAGACGTGTAGAGTAGTGATGGGAAGACCGACTCTTTTTATTGATTTGAATCTTTCACTCTCGAACAGTAAAATGAACGAGTCGTGAACGAATCTTGAACTAATCATTTCATTCGTTTTACAGCAGGTGGTGCTTTAGCCCTATTGTGGGCGTTGTAAAGAAGGCTGTGTTTCTCTGACACTACTGAAGGCAACATGGTTTGCTTCCGCTGACA